GACTTGAAAAATGCTGATGGGTTTCAGTTGAGAGGAAGCATGTTGGCCACAAACTGCTCTTCCGTTGAGTGGGATTCCTGGACACTGACCCCACGGGCGGGGGAGGGGGAGGCGCTCTCCTTCAGAGAGGCTGGGGCTCCTGCCTCAATGACTCGCTCCTCCTGTCACTTCCTATCATGGGTGCAGTCCTGGGGGCTCTGCAGGGGACCCCTCTTAGACCCCTCGTGAGTGAAATCTTTTAGGGTTGTGCTCTGGATCAAGGTGCCAAGGGGTCACCCGGGGTCTCTCTCCCAGGCTTCTAAGGAAGCAGTTTGAAAACTGGGGTCCTCCCTGCACACAGTGCTTGGTTGGGGGTCATGGGGAGAGGGGGGATGGGGAACCCGTGGTCACAGCCTTTGTCTGTCCCGTGCGTGGGGTTATGAACGGGGAGGGTGTTGTCTCTAAATACTCAGCTGCCAGCATGTATCCTAGCCCCCATCCCTCCCACTGCAGGCTCGGCTCAGCGCGTCCCTGCGGGGGGCTCCGTCTGGGGCTACCTCTGGGTGCCGACCGTGAATCGGGGGTGTGGATGCTGGGGCCCTTCTCTGAGGATGTTTCTGCTGTACATGGGGAGGGGTCTCCCCACCCCTGGGAGCTGGTCAGAAATCAGCCCTGGGCGCACCCCAGACCTCCCAAGTCTCAGCGTGCACTCTGGTGAGGCCCGGGAGCTCCTGTGCCGTCCTGGGCCCTGACGCCCAGGCTGGACCCCACCCCTGACCACCTGCCCTCTCTGCCCCCAACCGGAACCACAGCTCGCCCACCGCGTGAGCCACCCCACTCCCAGGGCCACGACTCCAGCGCACGGGGAATGGTGTCCCCCAAAAAAGAGATGTGTGTGTCCTAACCCCCGTATCTGCGACTAAATGGGACCTTATTTGGAAATAGGGTCTTTGCAGATGTACCCCAGTTAAGATAAAGTCATACTAGGTTAGGGTGGGCCCTAGACCAATGGCCCGTGACCTTCTCAGAGGAGGCGATGCGCACAGAGGCCGTGTGAAGACAGCAGCGAGGGCAGTGTTGCAGCCCAGGGACGCCTGGAGCCCCAGAGGCGGCGTGAGGGAGGAAGGGGCCTCTCCTGGAGCCTTGGGAGGGGCGGGGGCTGCCGACCCCGATCAGACTCCGGCCTCCGATCTGGGGGGAACACGTCTGCGTTGTTTTCAGCCCCCAGTTTGTGGTTACTTGTTATGGCCACCCCAGGAGACTAACCATTGTGTGTCCCCAAGAACTGGCCCCCACTTTGCCCTGAGGCAGGCGGGTCTCCCCGACATCACGGGGTGTCTTCACCCCAACAAAACCCCTGACTCAGAGACAAGGGCAAGCGCGAAGGGTCCCTGTCTGCGTGGGGCTCACCCTGCTTGGGGGGGGGCAGCGAGGCACAGCACCCCGCTGGCCCTCGGGGGGCAATGGCAGGTCACAGCTGTGCTGCTGGGGAGCTCCATGCAGCTGCCTGGGCACAGCCACAGAGGACTCGGTGGGCAGAGGGCTTGGGGGGCTGCCATCGCACCCAAGAGGCCATGTTTACCTGTCCCATCCCCCCACCCAGCCTTTAAAGCAGGGCCTCTCCATATTACCCCTGGGGGGCATTTAGCAGGTCTGGGACATTCTGGGTGGCATGACTTGGGGTGCTCCTGGCCAGAGAGGCAGAGAGGCCGCTACACATGAGGTGTGGGCAGTGCTGAGGGCGAGCCACCTGCTCCGCCGCATCGGTCCCTCCTCTCTGGGCGTCGCCGTGTGAGGATCTGACGGGTTCCACGGATGTTTCTCCCCAGGGAGGTGCACACAAGCCCCAATTTTGCTTCAGTTGGGTTCGACGGCACACGGGGGCTCTCTCGGAGGCTATCCTATTTCCCAAACTACAAAGCCTCTTGGTCCCTGTAACCGGAGCGCACCCGGGGACCCATTCGTTAACAAGGGCGTCTCTCCCTGAAAGGAACACGGCAGGGCTGTCTGCGGGGGCGCTGGCTGGGCCCGCGCACACCTCGGGGCTGCATGAGTCCAAGAGGCCTTGGAACAGATCTGGTCCCGCCCGTCTGGGAGAGCAGGTAGGAGTAGCAGGTGAAGGCCTTTCCCAGTCACCTTGCGCCTCATCCTCTCCGGAGAGCGCCCCAAAGCAAGGGGGCCCTTGTAAAACGTGGCTCGTCGCGGAGAGACCCTACTGGGGAGACGGTCCACACTCCACGTCAGCCACTTTGGAAACTCGAACCGTCTAGTCTACACCACGATAGTGTTGTTACTTTAAAATGGCCAATCAGCCCTGGCTGGTTTGGCTCAGTGGTTACAGCGTCGGCCTGAGAACCCGAGAGTCCTGGGTTCGGTTCCCGCTAGGGGCATGTACCTTGGTTGCAGTTCGTCCGGTCCCGGTTGGGATGGTGTGGGTGGCAGCCACTCAATGTGTCCCTCTTACGACGATGTTTCTCTCTCTCTCTTCCCCCCTCTCTCCCTCCCGCTCTATCTGAAGATAAATGCAAAAAAAAGAAAATGTCCTTGGGTGAGAATAAAAAAAAAAAAAAGAGACCAGTCAGTGGCAGAAAAGCCTCTGTTAGCCACAGAGCCCAATTATCAATGACATTTTTGGGTCCCTTATTGGGGAAAATAGATCTTTTCTTGGTGACAGTAAACAATGTCTTTTTTGTTTTGTTTTGTGAATCCTCACCCAAGGATGTTTTTCCATTAATTTTTAGATAGAGAGGGTGGGTGGGGAAAGAAACATCGACTGGTTGCCTCCCACATGACCCTGACTGGGGCTGGGGATTGAACCTGCAACTCAGGTATGTGCCCTTGACTGGGAATCAAAACCATGACCTTTCGGTCCGCGGGCCGACGCTCTAACCACTGAGCCCACCAGCTAGGGCAGTAACCAATATCTTTATGTTTGCTTTGCACAGAGTTTTATAAAGAGGTGGCTCTCGTCTTCGTAGGCACTGCTGTCCCACATCTCCAGGAACAGTCGTATCTGCTGTCCGATCACTGCCAGTCAGTGAGAACCTGCCACGTGCCAGACTCGCGTTCCGCTCTCTGCCCTTAGCTCGCGCGAACCCAGTGATGTAAACACTCTGGTTATGTCCATTTGACACACAGGGAAACTGAGGCCTACGCAGCTGAATGCACCTTGCAAAGGACAGGTAGAGGGTCTGGGACGGGGCCAGGGCCAGTGTGAATCACCAGACCTCGTGGGTGCCTTCAGCGTGAGATTTCTTTTTTTGGTACGTGCCCCTCGCGGGAACGGAACCCGGGTCGCTCTGGTCCGCAGGCTAACGCTCCAACCGCTGAGCCAAACTGGCCGGGGCGAGCGTGAGATTTCTTAGTTGTGAGGAGAGAACGGCAGTAAATCCCTCGGAGCACAGACAAGGACACACTGCACCGAGCCTCAGTTCCGGCTCTGCACACCCCGTTCCCACAGAGCCTCTCCGCCTCTGGGAAGCTGTTTGTTCCTCCAGATACAAAGGGACACGTTGAAGTCAGCTCTGCGTCGTAGCTGCGGTATTGTCTCCACAGAGCTATGGGCCAGCCGGCCGGACAATGCAGAGTCAGCAAAAGGACTGCTCCCTTTTGAGTGTTCCCAGCACAGGTCTAAGGCAAAGCGAGTCACAAAACTGGGAAGGGCCTGCGCAGGCCTGTCCACAGCTGCCCGATGTCAGGGACAGGCGCTCTGCAACCTTGTCAGGACCGAATCTTCGCTTTCTTGTCATCAGAGCATTTTAAGGCCCCCCACACGCCCTTGCAACCCCAACATCCCTGCAGCGGAAATCACCCACCCTTGGCAGGCAGCCCGACCCCCGAAGCTGAACCTGACCCAGAGAGATGCTCCATGCTGAACACACAGACCCTCGACTGGTCAGGGTAGATAGAGGTCCCCTGTGTGTTTTTATTGCTTTCAGGGGACCTCCTGTAGACTTGTCATGAAACAGACATCACACCCCGGGCTCCCTAGTTGATACCCAAAAGCATTCTTATCGCTGGACCCCAAGCATTCGTATTGATTATGGTTTCCGTTGATGAAATAGCAGATCGATATCAACTTGTACCTTGAACACTCACGCTGACTGCTAGCTTCCTAAGTTAGCCTACTCACGACCTGTTCTGTTCTCAGTAGCTGCGCAGGCGTTTGCTGATTCTCTGTTAACCCTCACAGTGACAGCTCTGTGGGTTAGGGGGCTGCCCCAGTGCCCACGGAAGGCAGGCCCCGTGCACAGAGAGGTTAAGGGGTCCCGGGGGAGCACCAGCAAACCAGGGGCTGCTAGTGCCTCTCTGCACGGCTGTGTCTCTCGCCACCAGGGCAGCCCTGCTGGCCAGGTGAATTCACCGTCTGCTCTCCCCCAGATCTTTCCTTTAGAGCAGTTCTCAGGCGTTGCCAGGGAGTGGGGCTCCAGAAAAGTATTCGAGTTGCCGGATTTCAAAGCACCAGTCCCCCAAGGGATCAGTCAGGCCAACCTCCTGATCTGGAGAAGCTGAGCCTCTGAGAAGGGCCAAGGTCGACCGCCAGAAGACCGCCTGGAGAGCTCCATCCTCTGTGCCTTGACGGGGGCACGTACTCCCAGGGAAGGAACTGACCAGAGCAGGAAAGGCCTCCACCCCGAAGGTCATCGCTAGAAGGGCAGCTCTGCTCTGAGCAGACGTGGCCTGGAGGGGGGAGGTTTGGGGCTCCCCGCGAAGCCGCCCGGAAGCAATTTCTACCCAACCTTAACAAGAGGGGCGTTCTCAACCGCCTTCCCAAAGAACAGGTTTCAAGCTAAGAGGACACGTCCCTGCACCGCCTCTGAAGACGGAACTGCACAGCCCCGCCCCCGACGCCACACCCACCGGCGCGCCCCGCCCCCGCCCCAACCCCACCGGCACGCCCCGCCCCCAACACCACACCCACCGGCAGCCCCGCCCCGTCGCCACACCCACCGGCGCGCCCCGCCCCGCCCCCGCGCCCCGCGCCCCGCTCCCGGCGCGCCCACAAGCAGCGGGACGGTTACCTCCTCGTCGCGCTCCAGCTCCAGACCCGCCTCCAGCAGGTTCCCCTCGTACTCCTCCCTGCGGAACCGCTTGTCGTCCTCGTGGAAGTCCAGCGGGGGCTCCTGCGCGCCCGCGCCCGGCGGGCTGCCCTTGCCGGGCAGGGGCTGGTCCTGCTGCAGCGGCCGGCGGGCCAGCGGCCGGCTGCCCGACGGCCTCTTGTGGTGGTACACCAGCACGTAGTCCACCTTGCGCTTGCCGTCCCGGAAGTACAGGCCGTACTTGCACTTGGCGTCGGGGTCCACGGACAGCGAGTTCAGCAGCTGGAGGGGAAGGAGAGGGACACCCACTCACGGTCTCACGGTCGGGCTGTCGGAGATGGGCCCGCGGAGGAGCGCGTGTCAAACCGAACTGGGTCATCGGCTCGCTCCCTCGGCCATTCCACAAACACGGAATGCCCACGGGCTCAGACGGCCGGGACTGGGGCACACGCGCCCCGCCTTCCCGCCGCCGCCACTCGTGACCGCCGCACGCGCCCCGCCTTCCCGCCGCCGCCACTCGTGACCGCCGCACACGCGCCCCGTCTTCCCGCCGCCGCCACTCGTGACCGCCGCACGCGCGCCCCGCCTTCCCGCCGCCGACACTCGTGACCGCCGCACACGCGCCCCGTCTTCCCGCCGCCGCCACTCGTGACCGCCGCACGCGCGCCCCGCCTTCCCGCCGCCGCCACTCGTGACCGCCGCACGCGCGCCCCGCCTTCCCGCCGCAGCCACTCGTGACCGCCGCACACGCGCCCCGCCTTCCCGCCGCCAACACTCGTGACCGCCGCACACGCGCCCCGCCTTCCCGCCGCCGACACTCGTGACCGCCGCACACGCGCCCCGCCTTCCCGCCGCCGCCTCTTGTGACCGCCGCACACGCGCCCCGCCTTCCTGCCGCCGCCACTCGTGACCGCTGCACACGCGCCCTGCCTTCCCGCCGCCGCCACTGGTGACCGCCGCACACGCGTCCTGCCTTCATGCTGCGGACGCTCGTGACCTCCGCATAGGGGTCCGCCTTCCCACCGCCGACACTCGTGACGGCAGCACACGGCCGGCCTTCCTGCCCTCGCTCCAGAAGGAGACCTTGCGCCAATGGCGCATGAAGGCGCCCAGCAGGCCGTCTGCCCTCGGAAGGCCTCCTGGTTCCAGCAGCCAGAACGGAGGGCCCAGAGGGACCAAACGGTTTGCCGCAGGTCACCGGGTGGCTCCCAAGAAGTGCTCTCATGCAGGGTCACAGGCCCAGCCTGGTGAGGGCTCTCCAGGTTACAGCCCAGCCCTGAGTCCCCTCTGCACACCCAGGGGCTCCATCTCCCAGAGTACCTGGGATACTTGAGGTGACACTCCTTGTCAGCACCCAGGAGGAAGGGGCTATGAGGGGCAGTGGTGGAGCACCGGGCCTGGCTCTGAGCCTGGGCTTGGACCCTGTCCATCTAGCAGGGCTGGGGGAGGTTCTCGCCCTGCTCTGGGCCTCAGTGTCCATCTCTGTAAAATGGGAGGGCAATGTAAGCTGTCCTCCGGCGGCCAGGAGCATTATCTGAGCTGCGGAGCGCCTGTGCTGGGCAGACTCTCCATCTGATTCCCAGGACGGGCGCTCGGGGCTGTCCTGTCACCCTGCCCGCGATCCTGGTGCCAGCGGCAGAGGCTCATTCCCCTCAGTGTCTCGGGAATGCCACAGAAGTGCAGAGTCACAGGGAGCTGGCGGCCAACCATGGGCTCTTCTGCTGGAGGAGTGGACAGAGAGCCAGACCCGAGGCTGCGGGGAAGAGCCACCAGCCAACACGCAGGGGATGAACTGCTGCCAGGCAAGTGCGTGGGACGTGGTCAGACCACGGTGGACACGGTCAGATCTCGGGGCAGGCAGGGTACGAGGGCTCTCAGAGCTGAGCCAGGCTTGACGGTTCCTCCGGTCCCGCCCACACCACCTTTCCCAGCTTCCTGTCCCCCTCCCCCACCACCCGGGGCCTACACTGGAGTCGGGACATCCTCATCCCTTTGCATGAGCTGTGCTCCCTGCCTGCACGCCCTCCCCTCCTCTGTGCTTCCAGGGCGTGGGACAACCCCCTCGTCCCATGGTCTGGGGGTCCCTGACCACTCCAGCCGTGCAGGTCTCGTGTGCTGGGATCTGCCTTGGAACCTCCCCTTCAGGAGCTCTGAGCTCACAGGATCTCTAATCCAGGTGGCAGGGTCCCTGCGACCGGGCCAGGAGCTGCCCCCACGCCACCATCCGGAACCCTGCTATGCACACGGTGGTCTTGGCACCTGGTGTGGGCCCCATAAGTGCTCCTGGCTGGCTGGAATAATGGCTACCACTGGACAAAGTGGACAAATAACCCTTAGAGAATGGGAAAGAAATTCAGAGGGACCCATCAAGCCAGAGAGCAGGGAAATAAACCCAGGGACAACCCCAAACTCCCCACCAGCACGAGACAGGAAGGGGGCCGGATAGCGGACCCACAGGGCCTGAGCCCGGGGGGCACCCTGACACCCGCACAGGTCTCGTCCGCCCTGGGGCGTGCAGCAAGAGGCCTGACCGAGTGGACGTCCTGCCTGGGCTCACAGGCCAGCTCTGCCACTACTGCCTTGTCCCAGGCCCAAAGCCTCATCTCCCTGTCCTCTGGATCCTTCGCGACCTCCCTTGTCTGATACGACTCCTTCAAAGGGTCTGCAGGGTGAAATGTGTTAACACGTAAAGTGTTTAGAGCAGGTCCTCCAGATGGTGAACCCACCGCAGAGGTGCGCTCCAACTGGGAAGTGAGACACAAAGAAAGAACGAGGGGAGGACCGGGGAAAACAATCTCATGGTCAGAGTGGACCACAAGTGGAAGGTGGAGGCAGTGCCAAACCTAGATTTGAAAGAGTCATGAAAGGGAGCTGGATGCGCAGCCAGGACGTGCAGGAGGCAGCACCAAGTGCTGGGGTGAGAGTCCCAGCTCCTGCCCCCAGACTTGGTCCTGTCACTGATTTGTGTCTTGGCTTAACTTTATAAAATGGGGCAAATTGACCGGAATAAGGGTGAGGGGTTAGCAACCGTTAGACAGAAAATGCGGGCTCTCTTCCTACTATACTCGACACGGGCTGGGAGGCACCCAGGGTCTGGAGGGAGCTGGGGAGGTGGCCAAATGTGGCCACCACGGAGGCTGCCATGGTGGCCACGTGACTCTGCGGGGCCCTTCCGTGGAGCAGCGGAGTGGGTGCTTCTGTGTGGGACAGGATGTCACCTTCAGTGGGAGGATGTGGGTCGACTGTACGCAGAACCTCCCACTTCCAAGGCCAAGGAAAGCTCCAGAATGTTCTCCTGTCCTTAAGGAAGAGGCAGTGACTCCGCAGCGTGAGGTGGTTGACGGCGAGGGTGTGGAGGGAATGGGTACATGCATGAATGAGTGACAGAGGCTTGAGTTTTGCACACTGTTACTGTTGGGGGCCCCAGATGAAAGATACAGAAGCTGAGCCCTGGCCGGTGTGGCTCAGTGGCTCGAGCGTCGGCCCCTGGACTAGAGTCATGGGTTCGATCCTGGTCAAGGGCTCATACTTTGGTTGTGGTTTGGTCCCCGGCCCTGGTCAAGTCCAGCAGGAGGCGATCAGTCAATGTGTCTTTCTCACATCAATGTTTTTCTCTCTCTCTCTCCCTCCCTCCCTTCCTCCCTCCCACTCTCTCTGAAGAGAAATGGAAAAAATATCCTTGGGTGAGGATTTTTAAAAAATAAATAAATAAAGATTACAGAAGCTGAGACCCAGCCAAGCCAGCAACTTAAACACGACACTCCCCAGTACTGAGCCCCAGTTTTCTCATCAGTGAGATGGGGACAAAACATCTCGACACAGGTCGCGGGAGTTTTGTGAGGACAAAGTGTGACTGATGGGAGATTTGAGAGTATTTTGAAGATCAACACCTGGAATATTTGGGGGCAAGTGCTCCCGGAAGGAGCTTCCCCAAGGAAGACAGAAAAATAATGAAAGAGAAATAAATGGCTCCCTGAGGTTCCAGGGGAAGATGTCAGGACACAAAGGCCCTGTCCCAAGCACCACACATAGCGAGAGGGCAGTCCACGTCTGAGCCACACCTGTCTCTTCAAACTCCCTCCCCAAACCCCGAGAAGAGGGCAGGAGAGGGCACGGGAGCCCTGTGTCCACACCTGGGACACTACTGGGACCTGATACAATCACTGATTTGGCTTCTGACCTAGAGTTGGAGCCCCAGGAGCCGAATTCACACGTGTGTGTGGAGTAGCCCCCGGCTCAGTGGCCAGTCCAGGGCCATCTCCTCCATTCACTTTTTTCCTTCTTCTGGAAACCGGGAAAGTGAAATCAGTGGCCTGACAAATTTCTTTTGGTTTTGAATTTCATATCCAAGGGGAACATCTCTCTGAAACTTCCTATTATTCACAAAATATAAAAAATGAAGTCACCAAAACTCAGCATCAATTTCTGATGAGCGGGCAAATCCTGTAAATAATAAACAGATCGTCTCCAATCGCAGATAAGCAGGGAAGAGCTCTTATCTGGCAGACAGACGGGCAGATGCCAGCGTCAGGTGCCTGTCTGCAGTGTCTGGACTTGTTGGGCCCACGGATGGGGCCACTGACAGCCACCCGTTTGAAGGAAGAAAGTAGAACCACTCAAAGATGAACACAAAGAACATTCCGTGAAATAAGCAGCACCCAACTTGGCCTCCAGCTTTTGAGTCATTTCTTACACCTCTTTGTGCAGAAACAACAAAGTGACTTTTACTCTTGGATTTTGGGATGAGAGCCAGGCGAGGCACAGAGTCACAGGCTGGGAACGGCAGCCTTCAAGGGACAGGCTTATTCCGCCGGATGATTTAAATTACTTTCTGAAAAGCAGCTCATGCCCCCTGGCCTTTGCCTGGGTGAAGGGAGCCGCTGTCGCTGGGTGACTCAAGGTAATGACCGAGCAATTATTGGCTTCGGCTGTGCCTGGGATGCTCTAGGAGGTTCTCCCCTCACGCTGCCTGCCCTGCACAGGCAGGCCCCGGCTTCCAGAGCTGCCACTTCCTGCCCGGCTCCGACAGTCAGGGCCCTGATTCAAGCCCGTGACACCCAGAACCTGCCTGTAGGAAGAGATGTGTGTAAAGCAAGTCCACGGTCTCAGCTGAGCTTGTCTGCGGGTTTCCAGACTGTGAGGACCTTGAAGGGAGGGCCAAGCTGCCTCTCTGCAGACTGTGACTCTCACTAGGGTTTGGGGGACACAGTTTCTGGATCTGGATAAACAAGGGGGGTCCCTGAACTAAGACTCCAGAGCCAGGGGTCACTGAGTTAACTTCTTATTCTAAATCGAATCAGGTCTACCTCTGGCGTGTCCATGTCTCTCCATGTCCTTCAACTCCACCGGTGTCCTGCATGTCCCCCTCTGGGTCTCTGAATATTCTAGTTCTTTGTCTGATCCCCCCACCCCAGTACAGGTATAACTAGCTCCTTCTCCAGAACGCCCATTCCTTTGGGAGGCCACCTGCTTTTTTGTGTCTTGGTCCTTCCTAGCTCGCTCTTCTGAGCTGCTGGGTGACTGGGAACAGGTCATCAGTCCCCTCTTGGCCTCAGTTTCCTCATCTGTAGTAGCAGTACCTACTCCATATGGTTGTTGTGAGAGTTAAATGAGCTGATATGCAGCGACGGGCCCAGCACTGTGGAAGTGTCCCTCACCACTGTCCTGGGTTCTGTTCCATCACTGCTTCTTAAGCCCAGATGGGCGTGGCTCCCCTGCTTCCATCCCTCTGGGGGTGGCCAGGATCCAGCGTGGCCCAGCACGCAGCAGGCACGCAGTGGGTGTTGAAATGACCCCGAAGCTCTCAAGGTCAATGGTTTGATCACAGGCAGACCAGCCCCTCTCCATCAACACTGGTTCCCAGGGTCCCCGGCACCTCTGTGCAAGCCCAGCTGCAGAGGAGCCTTGGAATGATTGCAGGGACCCCAGCAATGACCACAGGGGGTGCAAGGCCTTCCAGTGTCTGCCCTGCCGGAGCTCCACATGGCAGGCGCCTCCCTAGGTGCCAGTGTCCAGCCCTGAGGCTAGAGGCTGGCCAGGGCAATCCTGGGCTTGATCAGGGCAAAGCAAGTGGGCTGGAGAAATGGCCTGGGGAGGGGCCTTGGCCCTGGAAGAAGGGGTCTGTTCTGTGAAGGGTGATACCCACAGCTGATGGCATCCATCTCAGACCTTCCCTCTTTGGGCAAACCGGGTTCTAACGTTAAGCCAAACCCCTCACCCCTCACAGGCGAATTCTGCTCTCCAGGGATCCCTAGGATCCTGGGTCTGGACCGGGGGGGGGGGGGCAGCGGGGACCCCATCAAGGTCCCCAACCACGTGGTCAGCTCAGCACTGCCCCACGCTGAGGGGCTACCACCCAGATCGGATGCGGGTGCTGGGTGGGAACAGGGACCGGCCGGAAAGAAGTCTCAAACAGCCAGAGCCCGCCTGCTGCCTAGGGCGTTGGGAGTTCCCGTTCTGGGCCCAGCGCCCTGGGAACTCCGCGTGCCTGGGGCAGGTGAGGGAGCCGCCGGCGGGTAGAACGCCAGAGGGGTGCAGCTGTCGCCAGAAAGTGGCGGTGCTGTGGGGCCTGGAGGCTGCCACCCTCCTCCAGCGAGGCGGCTCCCCCCACCCCCACCCTGGCTGCCCCAACCAGCACCAAGAGGAAGGGAATGTGCCACCCAGGGCTCCAGCCGGGCCCCAGCCATGCTCTCAGGCTTGGGCTCCGGCCCGGGGCGAAGTGACTGCGACCGACCGGAGACGCAGACACGCGGAGACCGAGGGGCCGGAGCAAGAGGCGCCGCGTTGGGCGGGTGGGCGCTGCAACCTGGACCCACGGACCGCGGACAGCGCGCCCCACCTGCACGGGTGGGCGCCCCGCACGCGCCCCCTCCCTTCCCCCTGGCTGCCCTCCCGGCGCGGCGCAGGTGCGCGGCCCTCCCGCCCGTCCCGGTCCCGGTCCCGGCCGCGGCCGCCTGCACTCACCGTGCCCTGGGACGGCAGGCAGCCGATGTCCTCGATGGCGCAGATGTTGATGATGTGGACGCTGCGGTCCTCGGCCGGGAGCGTCGAGTACTTCTCGCTGACCCTCATCGCGGCTGCCTGTGCGCCGGGACCGCCGGGCGGCGCGCCCTCCCCATCCACGGCCCCGGCGGCCTCTGAAAGCGGACACGGCAGCGTTCCGGCGGGCGCTGCTCGCAGGGGGCCGGGCCTCCCGCTCCGCCCGCCGCCCGCCGCCCGCCCGCGCCCACCCTGCGGCGGCCGCCCTGCCCTCCCCTCCGTACAGAACCGTATATACGCTCCGCGCGCTCAGGGCCGGGCGCGGCCGCGGGTCAGATTTTCCGTAGAAATTTAAACACAGGAAGAAAGTACTGCGTTCCTGCGGGCCCCTCCAAGTTTTATTTTTATCCGGGGAAAGTGCCCCTTGGGTTTCTTTGAGGGTGGCCAAAGTTTCACGCTTGGGAGGAAACTCCCAGCAGCCCCCACCTTAAATAAAAGTCTCCAAAAGTCGCACCTCTGCTTGGGTCGCCTTGCAGGGGAGAGCCGCTTCTGGGAGTGAAGTCAGGAATGCGCTCCCTGCCTCTTCCCCCTCCACCCCTGGCAGACTCCTGCTGTCACTCAGTCTCACCTCCTCCGGGGAGCCTCCCCTGCTTTCCGCAGGCCCGCCCTCCTGGCCCGCCCTGGCCCCGTGTGCGTCTCCCCCAGAGCAAGCATCTCTCCGTGCCCCCCACCCCAGTGTTGCCTGCAGCCCCCATTTGTGGAATGCTTAGTATTCCGTGACCAGGCACCAGCCCAGTCCCTAAACAGCCCATCTCTTAACCCCCCTCAGCCCGGTCCTCATTTTGCAGGAGGGGATGGGGGCTTGAAGGAAAGGGGTGGGGCTCATGCCCAGCAGTGGGCACTCCTTGCACAACTCTCTACTGCCTCCCTGAGGGAGGGACGGCAACTTTGCTTGGCCTCCTCCCGGGACAGCAGGCGCCTGGCACACAGTAGGTGCTCCTAGGGACAGGCTTCTAACCCCGCAGGAGGGGGCTTCCGTCTCTAGGTGGAGCCACACCCAGGGTTGGTTCCCAGGGGTCACACTGCAACCCTGCCTGGTGAGAATTAAGTCTCCCTTTCCTCTGCCTCCCTACATCCTGTCAGTTCTTCACCGTGTGTACCAATGCTACCTCCTCCAGGGAGCTGTCCCGGATTGCTCCTCACCCAAGCACAGGCCCAAGAACCGGCCTGTACTTCAGCCACAGCACTTCCTTTCTTCGTGCCAGCTCACTTTACAAGGGCTCACACAGTTGGCACTCGGGCACCGCTGGATGAATGGCACCGAGGAGTGTCAGGGCCTAGGAAGTGGTGACAAAGCTGCGTCCCAAGGTCATTATGTCATTAACGCTGCGCAGGTTCCAAGGGTGGATTCTGGAATCAGACCGGATGGGGTGGGTAGGTGGGATGGAGTCTGGTTCGAGCTCTGGTACTTCCCAGGCCGGTGACTTGGGCAGCCCCCTGAGCCTCACAGAGCCTCTGTCTTGGCTGTGGGCCTCAGGAGTGTGTGAGGCTGCAGCTCAGGGCCAGGCACAGGGTTGGGGGCTGGGCAGCGGGGCACGGCCACGACCTCTCCTTCCCACCTCCCCCCATTTAGGCTCAAGCTTGTGAATTCCTTGAGCTTAGAGAGGTGCAGGGAGGTTGCTCTGTCCTTGGGCTGGCCTTGCCAACAGGTGCTAAGTGGCCCTGAAGGACCCTTTGTCTGCACCTGGGACAGGGATAACAGGTTTGCAGAAGTGTGCTGGGCTGGCCAAGTCCCCACTGGAGACGGTCCTCCATGGTCTCTGCCTCACCAGGGAGGCCCCACCCCTAAAGATTCACGTTTTTAGAGCTGGGAAGAATCTCTCTCTCTCTCTCTCTCTCTCTCTCTCTCTCTCGCACACACACGCACACACACACACACACACACACACACTGGATTATGTAACTTCATCCTCTTATCCTTGTTGGTAAACAACCAAGATTGTGTAACCCTAATGTTGTCTTTCTAAATTTATTTTCAAGTACAAAGGGTCTCGCAGAAGTCTACGAGGTATAATTTGTGAAAAAAGAATAAACATGTGATTCCTCAATTCTGGGGACATTGGCATTCACAAAAGTTTGGGTGGTGATGAGACTTCTGACCCGGAGAGGGTGCTAAGCCCTTTTGGGGGCTACAGGGTGGGGGACCGTGTCCTAGACAAGGCAGCTCCCTGCTTCCTCCTGGGACAGTGTCCCCTGTGGCTTGCACAAGAAGCTGTGTTTTATTCCTTGTGTCTGTGATTTATGCCTTAGCCAGATGGTCCAGATGTCCGCTTGCCCGTAAAGTGTCCTTTCTTGGCCGCATCCCCGTAGATCGCCTTGCATCGCCCCCCCCTGCACCCTGCTTCCTCTCGCCCTCCCCCAGGGCTCCCAGGTGGACGGTGTGGAAATGCTTCAGCACGTGGAGGGCAGATGCCTGTGGCCTCGTGGAGAGTGGGTGAATGGAGGCCAGCAAGGACCCGTTCTGTCCCCAGGCCGCTCACAGTCTAGGCTGGGGGTTCTTGGATGTCAGGTGCCAACAAAAAGTAAAAACATTCCACCCAAATTGGGGAGGGACAACAGTATTCTTCTCTGTCAAGACATTTTCCAAGTTAGAGGACTTCAGAGGGTCCCGCTGCCCACGGCCCATTGCTGGGATTCTCTCTCTACTCCGAGCTGCTAGGCGCTTGCAGACAGGCCCTCTAGACCCACTGCTGCATTTGCAGCTTCTGACTCAGTGGTTCTCATGTGAAAAGCCCAAAGGGACAGCTTTCACCAGCAGGATAATTCCTGGCTCGTGACTGGGTGAAAACCAGTCTCGTCCGTCTAAAAGGTGCATTGGATTACGGAAGTTCTAGGCTTCACGGCTCACCTGGTTTGTCACCATGTTGCCGTCACTGTGATGTCACCCACCAGCAGGCACGTACGTCTTTGCTGACATTTTAATGCCGGGAATACAGGCACGAAGGGACAAGGAGCCCAAGAGATGGCGGAGTGAGCGTCGGGGAGGTGGCGGCCCAGAAGGGCGCCCTTCCCGACAGCGTTGCATTTCACACTGGTTCTCCTCCGTGGCTGCCCACGGGAAAGGACCTCTGGTCTCTGCCTGAGCCCGAGGGCTCCCGGGCCGGCACCTTAGTGAAAAGGTGATCCTTCCAGCTCTGCGCCTGGCAGTGGGAGTCGGGGGCTATTTCAGGGGGGTCTCTTCCCATAGCTGAACAAACGGCCTGCGGACCTCGGCACTGCTGACACGCGGGGCTGGGTCCGCCTCTGCCCTGGGGATGGGCCTGCGCACTGCGGATGCCGGTAGCAACTCCCTGTCCAGAGTGACAACCCAAAATGTCTCCAGACACTGCCACATGTCCCCTGGGGGCAACGGCCCCCAGCTGCAGTCTCGGGGAGCTGGGGGCCGCTCCGATCAGCACACATTTCTCAGATGTGTACGTTGAGGCCTGGAGCGGCGAAGAGCTTGGATTACAGCCCAGCCCAGAGGCCGGGCTCATTCCGTGAATTCAGCACACTCTCTCTTGTGAGACAGAGAGGCCTGAGGCTGCAGCTTTGGTGTGTTCCAGGGAGGCTCAGATGCCCCTGGGCTGCCCTGGCTGGTGGATGGGCTGGCACTGGGCCGCTGCGGCCGGGTTCTAGCCACCCCTGCACGGGCGCCCTCTCCCCCGTTTGGACCTCTGTGCTCAGGGGGCTAGTGAGTGCGCTGACTCACTCCCAGGCCGGGGGGGGGGCATGGAAGGAGTGACTGCTCATGACTCAGGGCTATTGTGAGCGCCAACAGCCGCCCCGCCACCGCCCCCACTCCCGTGCTGGCGCTGTGCCCCTTTGGTCTCCAGTGGGCAACGCCAAACAGGTAGATGACCTAACTCCCCAAAAGGGACACGGGATATAATTATCCCAGGGAAGATGTGCCTGGGAAACATAGCCAAGAGATGGGGGGGCAGGAGACGGGACCGCTGTCATTTCCTTCCCTCGATGAGGTCAGATGCCCAGCTGAGGCCTGCAGGCCGCAGCTGGCAAGGACCCCAGGGGCAGTGAAACTGCTGCCCGATGTCGGGAACGCAGCCAAGCATGAAGCTCTGTCTGGGGGATCCCCCCCGACTCCGTGGCGGTTGTTTCCATCCCAGGGTGTTCAGGGGCCTTCTGAGCAGTATCCTTAGGAATTCTGCAAACGTGCCCGGCGTAGGTGAGCCCGGCCAGCTCAGCTGCCTCCTCCCGGAAGCCCTTCTGGTCCGACTCACTTGGTGACTCAGGTCAGTGCGCTGGCCCCGCTCCTGGCTCCGTCCAGGACTCAGGCTCACGGCGGCTCCATCATCCTCACATCTGTCTCCTGCCTGCTTTCTGCGCTCTGCACCGCTGGCCGACCAGCCACACCACGAGGCCGTCGGCGTTTGCGTAACAAGCATGGCGCAGTGCTCATGGCCAGCACGTGCTAACTCTCTGCGCACCCCAACTCACGGGCTTGCGCTCTTAACGCCACCGTCTGCAAGCGGCTACACAGATGTTCCACCCCACCACCCGGAGGGGGGGGGGGTCCTTTCCTTGGACGTGTGGGGAGAAGTCCAGACTGAGCCTCAGACAGCTCCCTGCCCCGCAAGGCGGACTCACACTGCTCCCCAGAAGGACGGCGGCCTCTCCTGAGGATCCCTGCAGGCCGGGGGCTGCGGGCAGGGGCGGGGACAGCCTCCCTGCGGCAGGACCCAGGACCGCAGGACGAGGCTGGGCCAGCACTGCAGCCCTGCCCAGCAGGTCCTGGAAGCTCTGGGCCATGGCCCGCCGGCTCCGCACTTCTTCGAGGGAAAGCCTTGTGCCTCATTCAATTCCTCGTCCCGGGGCTCGACAGAATGCAGGAACTTCAGGTGGCCCTGCTCCCAGACAGCAGTTCCTTCATCAAGGCCCCCGCAAGGACAAGGGACTTCCGCGTCACATACAGAAGGAATCTCTCCCTCTGAGCTTAACCCAGTTGACAGCGGTGGGGTGTTCCTCCTGAGGTGTGCTGTCCCCCAGATCAGTGGGGCCTCTGACAGATGAGGACCAGGTCCTCCCGGCGGAAGGCCCCTTCAGGCCCA